GTATTAAACTGTGTACAGCCCTGGAGGTTTAGGGGATAGGAAACAAATTGGTGTGTACAAATGTAAAACATGTAATTAATAAATGGGTGAAAATCGCTTGTGTCCATAATGGGAAGCATTAATATATACCCACATGCCAGCTCATTGTTACTTTGTAATTCTACTCCACTACAATTCAGAGGTTAACCTGGTATTTTTACTCCACTACATTTATTTTAGTTACTTTGCAGATTCTGATTAATGATGTGAAATATAAACAACCCTTAAAGCAGACTTTAGTTACACCTGAGTAAAATTCAGGGAAAGGTGATTGTCAAGTGCCAACAATCAGGAGAGATATTAGTTGGTGCTTGAGAAGACTAAACATTTATCTGCAGATCTCTATAAAGTATATTCATTACTCGTTATTCTCTACTAATAGTTAATTAAAGACTGTATATAATAGCTACTTTGCACATCCCTTTCAAGATTTTCTAAGGTTTATTGACATATCATATACACAACTATGTTGAAGTTATGCAATTAATGAAAAACTTGGGTCACAGGTTCCTCAACAGTGCATTACAAGACATCTATCAATATGTGTGTATTCCTCCACCATTAAACTCAAATTCTGCACATGTCTTATACTATCTACATACATAAGAGTATAATTAATATATATATAATATCAGTTAAAATAAGTGCTTCAACACAGTTAACATTGCAGGAAAGCAATATATTAGACGTTAAGTACTTTGTCAGGCTTAATATTTATCTGTAGATAGATACCCCCAAAGCTTTTTTCTTATTTGAAAGAAAACCTAAAGTATTCTTTAATGTGTTAATAAAGGTTAATTAGTTTGTCTGTTTTGCACATCCTCATATTAATATCTTTGTACATCAGGCACTAAACTGTTTTATTGTAGAGATCACTTACAGTATCTTCTTGATTTTTCATATTCTATATTTCTATCATTGACCTTCTACTTTCCCCCTATGAAAGTATGTACTCTTAATATTTTATTCATCAAATAACATTATTCAACAAAAATAACATTATTCAACAAAAATAATTAAATAACGTGCTTTAACAACTAGGCGGTGCACACAAGGTACACACAGCATACTAATAATAACTTTGTATTATTAGTGTAGGACACTTATGTATGTAAAACATCTGAAGATGTGTAGTTGTATTCATGTTTTTACATAATTGTACAGGATATTGCTATATTATTTCTCATGTTTACTTCTACACATTAATATCTGATTTGTAAAACATCAAAGACAGAAAGGTATATCCGTCATTTAATGGTAAGCTATTGAAATTGTGATTCCAGAGATGTGTCTCCCATCACCCAAATCCCCTGACTATTCTCTCAACTCAGTATTTACATTCTTATATTCAAAGAAAATCAGTAATATCTTTAAAAACTACAAGTCCTTTTCTATCAGCTGTGCACCGTTATGGTGTAAATATAACCTATCTACCAATTGGATCAAATATAAAAGTCAGCCGTATTAGTATTGATACTGCAAGGAGACGTATTTTGTGAAAAGAAATGTAAGATGTTGTTTAATTGTTGATATATTTATGATCCACGTCACGTATTCAGTTTCGGCGGCAGTTCTTCCTGTTTGTCCAGAAGTCTTCTCATCAGGGCTCTATAAATAAAGAACTATGGCAGATGTGCAATATTTAATGCAGCCGAACCGTGTATTACAATGCCGTTATGTGATGACTTTCAAAGAGAAAAGCAAGAACACTCGGAATAAAGTATTATTATTATTTTTTTTAATGTTTTCGGATTTCACATCGCATAAACACCATATCCCAACGTGCATTGCGGCTAAAACATCCAATCAGCGAGCTGAGGATCTTTCCTACGTCTGTTTCCAGTATTGTTCCTGTAATGAGAGTTCACATTTATGCTACATTGAAGGGTGGAATTGACTACACATCTTCAGAAACATAATTTGCTTCAGATATATACTGTAACTCATAGCAATATTGTAACCATTAAGAAAAGCCAACTGCATTAAAAACCCAGTTAACAAACACAAGGTAAAGTATTTTTCCTTCAGTAATGAAGATGTAATTCCAATGTAGACACACCTGGGGTCGCTGTTCAGTCTGTTACGCTGAGCCATGCATTGTCTGGAACGTAAAAGGGACGAAGAAGACAAAGTGAAGTGACGTACTTCCGGTTCAATGTGAAAACATTCCCAGTTAATAGTGATGTGTCGGTCGCGAACGAGCCGATTCTTTTGAACGGCTCTTTGGTACGAACGAGGGGAACCGAGTCCTACTTTGTGAGAGCCGTTCTTGTTATCGTTCAATCGTTGGTCCGCACTCACTGCCTGCCAAAATCCACTCGCCTTTTAAAAAGCTTGATTTTGTTCCCCAAACGTATTCTGTGAAGATCCGCCCCTACTCTGTTTGGTAGGTTTCAGCACGAGGAGTGAGATGGGGTGGGTCTTAACGGAATACGCGAGAGAGAGAAGTCATAACAAGTGGTACAGGACAGGTAGACAACGTGTTTTTCGGATGGTAAATGAGCCAAACGCGAAAACGCAGCAGCATTTGGATTCACTTCAACCAAAACCCAGGCAGTGATAAAGCGCACCATTTGTAAAGGCAACATATCCTTTAAAGCAGGATCAACAAATAATCTCCATCGCCACTTAAAAACACAGTATCTAATATTAAGAGTTGCATGAATTTCATTCAAGGCAAGGCAACTTTATTTACTTAACACATACAGAGGGTAAATTCAAAGTACATTCACTGACATGATGACATGGATATGGCGCCACCTTGTGTCATGTTTACAATGCCGATTATTGACATTAGGTCTGGCAATACAGTCAATCATTATCCTGGTGATTATTTTGCAGATAAACCTAGTAACCTTAAAAAAACGGCTCTTTTGAACGGCTCTTTTGAACGGCTCTTTGAAAGGAACGGAGCCATAAGATCCGGCTCCCTTCAAAGAGCCATAATTCCCATCACTACCAGTTAAACCATAGATATATATAAAAACATATGTTTATATATATCTATGAGTTAAACAACATAAACAAATCGCTTAATAAAAAGATAAAACACTGGCATGTAATTTACGTTTGGATTAAATAGAATGGTTTTGAATAATAGATGAGAGTAAAATCTACGTCACAGCCCCACCCACTTTTGGGGAAACCAACGCTGTCATTTGAACGGCGATCAAGCCTGAAGCCACAGAGCTCTTCTGCTGTCCTTAGAGGAAGTTTGAGGTGTTTGAGGTGCAATAAACGACACAGCAGCTTTTTGGCATGTTAAAACTATTATTTTCTGCCTCGCAGCTGGCGAAATTACAGCCTCGCCTACTGATTTTAATTTAACCATAGGATATCAAACCCGATCGTCGATTTCAAATGTGTGCTCTAAAATGATATTTATAAATGACTATTATCATTATTATAAGCTAGAAAAGAAATGTCAAAGATAGGTAGAAAGCAAACGTATTTAAGATATGTTCAGAACAAACGTAACGTGGGACAAAAGACGTTTCTTGTTAAACGTAATTGAGAATGCTGTATGAAACGACTACAAACAATATTGTGATTATTAACCATTAACCAGCATAATAACGGATTTGGTCAACTGAAAAGTCAGCCGCCAGCCAGCGCGAAAATAAGTTTGCTCTAAAATGATATTAATAAATGACTATTATCAATATTATAAGCTAGAAAAGAAATGGCAAATATAGGTAGAAAGCAAACGTATTTAAGATACGTTCATAACAAACGTCATGTGAGAGAAAATAGGTTTCTAGAAGATATGTAGAAAATAAACGTATTTAAGATATGTTCATAACAAACGTAACGTGGAAGGAAATACGTTTCTTGCGAAACGTATTTGAGAATGCAGTTTAGTTTTGTGGGAACGTAATTTCTAGGAGACAGGGTTGCCCAAACTCACCGGTGCCAGCGGAGAAAGCACGTAAACGGAACCCGGAAGTGGCCTTCGTGCCAAAGAGCAAGAGGGAACAAGAGCGACACTGACCCCTCTTTAGAAAGGTTGCCCCGTGTTGATAGGGCTGAACAGTTTGTCCTGCTTCATTCAGATAACGACGAAAAAGTCAATTTAAATGTGCCAAAACAATCAGTGTTAAATATTAAACTGTACATTGTCTCCGGGTCCTGATTCAGTTTCTGATGTTTCACTGTCCTCTACTGGGGATCTTAAGTGAGACACATTCAGGCTTCATCACTCAGAGAGCTCCCTCCACTGTCTGCTTTAAAGGGTCAGTTCACCCAAACTACTAAAGTACTGATGTCCTCTCTTACCTCCTAAACATGCAAATCATTCATAATAAAGTTTGCTGCATGCTGTGAGGTTGTTTTTCAAATGTTAAAGTGTTTTAATAAATGTAAACATTGGACATATGTTTACAGTTAATTCAACTGATCCACCTAAACATCCAAAGTCATTGAACCTGTGTTTTTCGTATCATTAAACGCTGTGTGTCCAAATCCTACCAGTCCACTTGATGAGTGTGATGTGTGTGTTCATGTTGGGTTCCCACTAACAGGCATGGGAGTTTCTCACGTCTCAGAGTTCTGCATTTCTCTGAAACAGAAGCAACCTGACCGCAGAGAGAGCAGAGAAGAAACAAACCAAGAGAAATTATATGGCATTTTCCATCCTCTCTTATAATTAATTTGGTTCTCTTCATCCTGTTCAGTTAAACTGCCTCGTGGATTCACAGGTTAATGCATTCCTGTTCCTTCACTCCACCTGCAGACTGTGTGACGTCCTCAGTGCTCATAGAGATCAACTGTTTTACCCTTATCATTTAAAATCCTTTCTAATGCTTTTTTCAGGAGTCAGTATAGGTAGCTAAATGGGTCTTTAGCCATAGTTTATTTAGTTTAAGAAAAGTGTATTGTTTGTTAAACAACAAAACTTTGTTGTATAGTGGGTGTTACTGGGGTTTGGCTCACCATGCATATTAATAATCTACAGCCTGATTTCCGTCTTCTGCTCATTGACGACAGAGGAAAGGCATCTTTCAACACATGGTTCCTCCTTCACTGTGAGTAGAAACAGTTTATTGATGTAATGATTCTGTACACCTCCTGTGAACATTATTTAATCTGACATGTTTTATAGTCTCACAGAGATGAGAGGAGCAGCTATGAGTTTAACTGCAGCAGCGAGTGGATTAGTTGTCTTCCTGCTCTCTGTGTCAGGTACTGTACATCTACACTTACATTCATCACATGAACAAAGGGGATTCTGGGGAAATGTGGGACTTGTAAAAGCAGGTCATTTGTAGAAAGAAGTGGATCGGGGTTGGATGAAATGCAAACTTTCCAAAAATATTCCAAATATATGTTTTGTTTAGCTTTGATGAAACACTTAGATGTTACCACGTTTTTAATTATAATGGATATTCGTAAAAAGATCTTTCCTGTGTTGGTCAACGTCATTACTTATCTTTTGCTTAAAGTAACTGTGTGCCCAGAACATGTACACGCTGTAAACTGAGGATATTGTTCCCTCCTCACCCTGTGAAAACCTTTGCTTTGTTTTATTTCTAAGATGACCCTGGTTAAAAAAATGTTTTGTTGTTTTTTATTAAGTTTTAGTGTTTTCGAGGGATATGTTCTCATAAGTCATTACACTGTCTCTCAACTTCTCTCATGTCGCCATACCTCTGCACCAAACCCTTCTAGTTGTTTCTCTACTCTCTGACCTCAGTGTTATATTCCCACACTCTGAGTTTAAAGCAGTCTTCTTCTTTTTCTCATCTGTATATCAAACAGAAGCTGCTCACGCCTCAGTGTTCTGCATTTATTGTTATTTTCACACTCAACTCAGCAGCAAACTGACCACAGAGTGAACAGAGAGAACTGGACAAGAGAGTCCCACACTTTTCTAATTCTTCCAATCTTTGACATCACTGACGTTGAAAAACTGAGCTAAAAGTTTGTTTTTGGACCTGGTACAATTTGGATATGACTCTAAAATAAGTCATAAAGTAAAATTGCATCAGGTATGAAGTGCTTAAGAAGGAATTGAGAGAGCTTAATATAAAAAATGTAACTTCATCATTATTTGTTGACTCATAAACGTCTCCTTTTAAGCTATTTTAAAACACTTTGTTCATTATATAGACCAACTTGGAAACCCATAAAAGAAGGATATATTCTCTTATGAATGAACAGTTGAACACCTAATAAAAATCTATATTCAGTCCTCGTTAGATACCGTAGATGCATGATTATAATCTTTTTCTGATGATTGGGGATCTTGACGATTGCCCAGCTTAGATTTCCTGATATGATATTGGTATTATGATACAAATATTCTTATTAACTAATTGTTAACTTAAGTCATTCACTTTGATTATAGTTTCTGATGTGCTCTGTGTTTCAGTGGTTCAGGGTCAGAATGACTGGGGAGGGAATTACACTTCTTCTGAGGTCTATGCTGTGAAAGGATCAACAGTGGAGATAAACTGCACCTACACATATCCATCCAGAATAAAAGGCAGTCAAAATAAAGTAAATAAAACATTCTGGTTCATTGAGAACAGTGATGGTGAACCTGTAGATATGACCACAGTCTCAGAGTATGCAGGTCGTGTAGAGGATCGCTGTGAAAACAACATCTGCACTCTGAGAATCAAAAACCTGACAGAGAGCGACTCAGCTGAGTACAAGTTCAGGATCATAACAACCCTAGATAAATATGCTGCTGCACCTGGAGTCACTTTGTTTGTCTGTTTGTCAGTCACAGGTAACATTTTCATTCATTTGAATTATTTATAATCGTTCAAATTGTTCAAATTGTTCAAAATCTAGAAAACAATAACATAAATGTGTATGACTGCATGTTTGTAGATAATTGTTATCTTTCTTCTCAAATCCAGGTCTCACGGTGCAGTTTGAACCCACACATGCTAACCGGGCAGAGCTGAAGTGTCAGAGCAGTTGTCTTGTACCCTCTGGTCATTATGTCTGGTACGAGAACGGAGAGAAATCTACGACTTCAATATATTCTACTCATTTATTCACATTAGGTTCTACAGACAGATATTCCTGTGCTCTGAAAGGACATGAAGACTTCCCCTCTCATGCAGTGTGTGAGTTAACCACTACACACACACTGACATTACATTACAATTACATTTCAGAGATAATCTCACTGCAGTATTCTTAATCTTCATATGGAGACAGCAGTAGTACAAAAACAAAAAGGTAGCTGTAACCTGTACATAATTGTAATAAAAGCAACACACAGTAAACAATAAAAGGAAAATCCTATACAGTATGCACCAAGAACATCTAAAAAATAAATGTAAGAATAAATTAGGCAAATAAATTCTTAGCAATTAAAAAACAACTGGAAGTGATTTTGGTTTATATTAAATATTTAACAAAAAATGTTGGTAACAAAAATATAAAATACCAACAGTAAATAAGCCATTTTAAGAAAATAAATAAGATGACTTGGAAATACTTTTTTCTCAAGTACTCAATTGGAATAAAGCAACGTTTATGAAACAAGTAAAAACAAAATATCAGAAATAAGGAATCCATAACCACAAAGAAACAACGAAACATCACAATCAATAAATTACACATGTTATAATAATCAAGAAGAAGTGGAAGTGAAATAGTAAAAACAGGTAAACTTCATAATTTAAATTGCCCTAAGGATAGAAGTGAGGTGACCTTTAGATTGCTCTGCATGTTATTCACGGTTGCAGATGAAAGATGAAAACATTTGGATTTTGCATGCTCAGTAAAAACAGCCGGCACCTGCAAACAAATCAGCATATAGAGAGAAGAATCAGTTGTTACAAACAAAACATTTAAATGTTAAAGACTTGTTATTGGCTGTCCGTTTCAAACATGAGTTAAAATGATTTGACAGCTCCAGCTCTACATTACAATAATAAAGGTAAAAAGTAAAATCTAAAATAGATCATGTGCTTTTAAATATTCTTATATTTAAATATTAATGCACATTTCTCCTCCAGATGCTCCAACTATTCCCTCTGTGTCATTGAGTCCCTCTGCTGAGATAGAGGAGGGCAGTTCAGTGACTCTGACCTGTAGCAGTGATGCTAACCCAGCAGCTAACTACACCTGGTACAAGGAGAATGAAGACTCTCCAAAAGCTTCAGGACAGATCTTCACCATCACTGACTTCAGAGCTGAACACAGTGGGAGTTATTCCTGTGGAGCCCAGAACAAGTTAGGACGCAGTAATTCCACCTTACATCAGATTGTTGTGGCAGGTAATTTTAATTTATCAGTACATTTGTTTTCAGTCACATCCTCTGCATAGTAATCAGATCAAGAAGAGTGTTTTTCGTTGTTCTTCTTGGGTCAGGGATTGGCTTTATAATATATTCTTTATATTTAAATAATGTATGAAGGTAACACCATGGTCTGTAAAGTGACCATTTACTGGGACATTAGATGGAACTTCGACTGTTTGCAGAGGATATTGTCCTTTTCATTAGACCTTGACCATCAGTGTGCGTAAAACTGACGATACTTTAGTAATGCCGGTCTACTTGTTTTGGAGACCATTGTTCAAGAACATGATTTTATTAATTATTTCTCTAACTTTTTTTCATCTCATTTGAAATATTTTTTTAAGCAAAGCTCCTCTGACTGCAGTGCAAACCATGTTTGTGTCTCTTTTTCACTCCCTTCTCTGTAATTTCGGCTACGTTTGAACCATAATTACATTTGAATTGTTATTGAAAATGCAGGAACTGGACCCCGAACAAACATTATCATGAATGTAATTGTAATTGACCGTTTACAGCAGTTAAAAATGTAATTGAAAATACGAGAATCAAATATAAATCTGGTGTTTAGTTACATTATTTTAAATTGAACTGGAACAGTTTAATTACTTTAGAAATAATAAAAACTATAGGCATTATACAGTATATATTCGGAAAAATCCCATGTGCCCTCCGCAGTACTCCACAGTACCCCTAGGAGTACTGATAGACCCATTTGAGAATCACTGCTGTATTACCTGTCTGTTCTCTGTTGATCACTGTTTCTCAGGATCATGGAAGCTACCAGCTGCTGTATCAATCTCCGTTGTTCTCCTGGCTGTCATTTCTCTCTCTGTCTTCCTGTGGATCAGGTGAGCAGATCTGTTCATCTTAATCATTGTTTGTTAAATCATTAAAAGTCTGTTTGTTTGATCCTATCCAATCCAATCCAACTTTATTCATATAGTGAATTGAAAAACACAGAGTTGACCAAAGTGCTGTACATCAATAAATATATAAAAAGCAGCATAAATACATCAAAACTGATAGGACAAAAAACAAATGTTAAAACACAAGACAATAAAACCATACTTATAGCCATAGACTGAAAAACAATAATACACGACGTAAAAACAATAAAAAACACGTGAAAAAAAGGAAAGAAAAAAAAACATTCAATGTTCAACCAATTGATCTTGTTTTTCTTTATAAACTTTCCTAACCAGAAGAAAGAGGGCTTCTAGAGACTCGTCTGAGCCTGAAGAGAGAGCGGACAACAGGGAAGAGGTGAGAGTCTCATTGTCTTTAAAGGTAGGGTAGGTAAGTTTGAGAAACCGGCTCGAGATACACTTTTTGTTATATTCCATGGAATGCTCTTAACATCCCGATAGCAATGAATATCTTAAGTGCTGTGACAAAAAATCCATAAAGAAATGTCATCTGTGGAAGCCGTGGCGCTGTAAAAAACACGACCAATCATTTTAGTCGGCCCGGCTAAAATAACTGGATGGCCTACCTGCCTGTCAGCCTTCCATCTGTGCACAAACTTATCTCGTGCCCTCATTGGTCATGTGCGCGTTCGTGTGTGTTGGAGGAGGGGCTCTGTAAGGAAGTGGCAGATTTTTTCCGGCTGTGTATTTTCAAATTCTAGCGATCTCGAGCCGGTTTCTCAAACTTACCTACCCCACCTTTAAGTGCTGCTATTTTACATCCTTTACAAAAGTTAATTTCTGTCACAATCTCTTTGATTCTCCTCTTAGACATGAGTACATTTAAAGTACATCCAGAAGTTTTCCTACCTTTTGTCCTTTAATCTTTTCTGTCATACAGCATCAAATTGATGAAGCAGGGATATGTTTCCATCATTACCACAGCTGCTGTTGCTTTGGCCTTTTCTGTCCTGGCTGCCATCTTTTTATATGAAAATACTTATTAATGTAAAAATGTGTAGCTGAAAGTGTTTTCCTCCCTGCAGTGTGTACCTGATCAGCCGGAGCAGCAGGATGACCTTCAGTATGCCACCGTTCACTTCTCCAACAACCGGGCAGACCCTCTTTACTCCAACATGAGAGCAGCTCAGCCCCTCAGACACACAGAGCAACAGGAAGTCCCGGAGTACGCTCCTGTCAAGTTCAGCAGTGCTGCCCCGAGGTGAGCAGATCCTCACACAGGAACATAACCCTCATAACAATGACTTTCAATACATTCATCACTTTAGCATGAATATTATTATTAATAAATACATTATGTATTTCCCAGGCCCAGAGGGCAGGACTCTGGAGAGGATCCAGCTGCATTGTACAGCACGGTCAACAAATCCCGATAAATACAGCAGGCAAATAATTTCCATAGTTTTTTGAGTACATTTCTCTCCATTCTTCATACAAATAGATCTTCACCATGTTCCTCTTCTTGTCCCGACTGAAATAACTCAACACCTACTCGGTTGATTGCTGTAGCATTTTGTCAACCCAGTATCACGGCAAGACGTGAACATGTGACGATCTACCATGCTGGGAGACGTGAATATGTCACGGTTTCGTCCCTTCAAACGTGACAGTTACACGGTATTGTTAACATGGCCCAACCAGTGGAGAAATACCCGGAAGTGCCAAGCAAATGGTCTACCGCGCCTATTGGTCGGTTTTTATTGTCAAAATGAGATGTTTTTAATTTATTTTTTAATCGTCACACTTGATTTCGCCGATTTTCTTGTTGCCCTAGCTGGTCGACACCTCTTTTAGCAGAAACAAAGGCTACATTAATGTATTAAATCGATGTTAATCCATGTGTGTGGATCATAGACTGGTGTGGATGTGGAATTAACGGACGTGACGTTGTGCGATTGCGTTGCCAGGCAACGCAATTTACAAACTCTTCAACTACAACCCTAATTATATTTTAAAACATTTTAGAAGGCCTCACGAAATACTTTAATGTAAATTAAAATGTAAATGTGAAGGGATGTGTGTAATGTGGTGATTGACATTATTCACCCACGGATCTATGGGTTGGGGTTATTGTTCCGCACGGACATTTTAGTGAACCGGACTTACTGTTGATGTGAAATCCGAAAACATTTTTTTAAATAAAATAATACTTTATTCCGAGTTTGCTTACTTTTCTGTTTGGAGGTCATCACATAACGGCATTGTAATACACGGTTCGGCTGCATTAAATATTACATATCTGCCGTAGTTCTGTATTTATAGAGCCCTGATGAGAAGACTTCTGGACAAACAGGAAGCACTGCCGCCAAAACTGAAAACGTGACGTGGATCATAAATATATCAGCAATTAAACAACATCTTACATTTCTTTTCACACAATACGTCTCCTTGCAGTATCAATACTAATTCGGCTGACTTTTATATTTGATCCAATTGGTAGATAGGCTGTATTTACACCATAACGGTGCACAGCTGATAGAAAGGCACATCTAGTGGTTAAAGCACGTTATTGAATTGTATTATTTTATTATTTTTCACAAAAATGAAACCATCAATAGCAGAAACAGTATTAACTGTAAAACACCCAAAAGAAAAGATCATTAGTGGTTTTGTTTTATATATATTTTAAGGATAATAATAGCAATGTAACACTGTCTATGACACTTACTGTATAACACTGATTTGAAAAACATACAGAAAAAACTAATTCACTGCCCTTAATAAAGTATTTAAATATACATTTCAGGTGTGCTGTTTTGTTTAGATCATTGACATCTGGAGCTCTTTTAATGTCCTTTTTGATTATTGTTACACCAGGTCTTGTCAAAACCTTTATTCCATATTCAATATCCATTACTAAACAAAACAGCAATTCTACTCCACTACAATTCAGAGGTTAACCTGGTATTTTTACTCCACTACATTTATTTTAGTTACTTTGCAGATTCTGATTAATGATGTGAAATATAAACAACCCTTAAATCAGGCTTTAGTTACACCTGAGTAAAATTCAGGGAAAGGTGATTGTCAAGTGCCAACAATCAGGAGAGATATTTGATAGTTGCTGCTTGAGAAGACTAAACATTTATCTGCAGATCCCTATAAAGTATATTCATTAGTCGTTATTCTCTACTAATAGTTAATTAAAGACTGTATATAATGGCTATTTTGCATATCCCTTTCAAGATTTCAAGATTTTCTAAGGTTCATTGACATATCATATACACAACTAATTCAATAACGTGCTTTAACCACTAGGCGGTGCACACAAGGTACACACAGCCATAATAACTTTGTATTATTAATGTAGGACACTTGTGTATGTATAACATCTGAAGATGTGTAGTTTTATTCATGTTTTCACATAATTGTACAGGATATTGCTATATTATTTCACATGTTTTACTTATAATATCTGATTTGTAAAACATCACAGACAGAAAGGTATATCCGTCATTTAACAGTAAGCTATTGAAATTCTGAATCCATAGATGTGTCTCCCATCACCCAAATCCCCTGACTATTCTCTCAACTCAGTATTTACATTCTTATATTCAAAGAAAATCAGTAATATCTTTAAAAACGACAAGTCCTTTTATATCAGCTGTGCATCAGTTATGGTGTATAACGTATTTTTTTTTTCGGATTTCACATCAACAGTAAGTCCGGTTAACTAAAATGTCCGTGCAGAACAATACCCCCAACCCATAGATCCGTGGGTGAATAATGTCAATCACCACATTACACACATCCCTTCACATTTACATTTTAATTTACATTAAAGTATTTCGTGAGGCCTTCTAAAATGTTTTAAAATATAATTAGGGTTTAGTTGAAGAGTTTGTAAATTGCGTTGCCTGGCAACGCAATCGCACAACGTCACGTCCGTTAATTCCACATCCACACCAGTCTATGATCCACACACATGGATTAACATCGATTTAATACATTAATATAGCCTTTGTTTCTGCTAAAAGAGGTGTCGACCAGCTAGGGCAACAAGAAAATCGGCGAAATCAAGTGTGACGATTAAAAAATAAATTAAAAACATCTCATTTTGACAATAAAAACCGACCAATAGGCGCGGTAGACCATTTGCTTGGCACTTCCGGGTATTTCTCCACTGGTTGGGCCATGTTAACAATACCGTGTAACTGTCACGTTTGAAGGGACGAAACCGTGACATATTCACGTCTCCCAGCATGGTAGATCGTCACATGTTCACGTCTTGCCGTGATACCGGGTTGCATTTTGTTCATGTACATATAATGTCTTACAATGTCTTTGGAGAATAATTCATTCTTTGCATTTTTGGATCATTTTTAATATTGTTATTATAATATTCTTTAATTAAGTACAACTATACATGTTTGCTATTGAAAAGGACATTGGTATTGCATAGGAACATCTGTTAGCTTATCTAGTTGCAGTTTCATCCTGCTGCCACTAGGTTTCAGTAAAGAGCCGTATTTCACTGATAAAAAACATTTCCAAGAGCCTGTCAGGTGCATTTCCCTTTGTGTGGGTACGGTCATTTCCCCTACGTTCTTTGTCTTTCTTTTGACCAGTTCCATTGTTCACATGTTATCGAGTTACATTTAGTTGTTTTGTAGGTATATAACCATCACAGCTCATTACAATTGTGTATCATGCTTCCTTTTTTATAACTTTTATAATGACCCTTTTCTTGTGTGCTGTCTAACATGTGTTTACATTTTCCGTGTGCTGGTCTGTATTGATTTGCATTAATAAAAAAGATGTCCATACTAGTGCCATTACCTGTGATGTAAAAATAAAACAATCGCATGTGTCTGCTTGAAATAAAAACGCTGGAAACAGTAAAAAGAAAAAAACCTGCAGTGATGAAAGTGTCACACTGAGTGAGGAAAGTGTGTGACCACAGCACAGCCACAGTCTTGCTCTTCACTGCACATTGTGGTGTTGCAGCTACATGCATTAGCGGATCTAGTTGCAGTTTCCCGCTGCTGCCACTAGGTTAAAGTAAAGAGCCATATTTCACTGATAGAAAACTATTTCCAAGAGCCTGTGAGTATGAGTATACGTTGTGTGTAGACCATAGACTGTATTTATAAAGGTGTAGAAACTCCTTCTTCCCACGTGCTTTGTCTGCCATGATTTTCTTTAATTTACCTTTCCATCTTAAAGGTTTTACACCTGTTATTATGACTCTTCTGGATTTCATGTGTTTACATTTGTCTTATTCTGTTCTGTATTATTTTGCTTTAATAAAAAAGGTTAAAGGTGGGGTAGGTAAGTTTGAGAAACCGGCTCGAGATCGCTAGAATTTGAAAATACACAACCGGAGAAAATCTGCCACTTCCTTATAGAGCCCCTCCTCCAACACACACGAACGCGCACATGACCAATGAGGGTGTTATGGCAGAATGTTTAATACAGCGTATTTATGATATTCATTAATGATCACATGGTATTCCATATGATGTGTGTTACTGAGTTGGGTCACACACAGTTAGAGAGACAATGGTCGTTCTGAATTATCAATAGATGTATTCATTTTAAGTGAGCTGACACCGAGGGTATAGGAAGTTCAGAGAAGGCCTCGGGTTATAAAAACAGTTAACCTTTGTTAGTTAACTAATCCTAAAGATGTCATGAGATGATGACGTTTAAACATATACAGGTATAGCTTTCAGAGAGAAAAACATGTGACATTTGTGTGGTTGGCTGCATGATACAATGTGTGTGTTAAACATGTTTGGGGAACATGTTCGTGTGTCATTTAGAAAAGTATATATAGCCCTGTGTTTCTTCTGTTTTGGGGGGCATTTCCACGATTGGCTGCTGTGGCAGCAGGTGATGTACTTCCCATTATTGTTTGTTTGTTGCAACAACTAAATAATAATTACTTATCAGCTATATCTGTGTTTGTGTTTTATTGATTCCTCTCTGTTTCATTCTTTCCTGTTGTGTTATGCTGGATCTCCACAACATTTTGGAGGTTCTACCGAGATTGCCAATGCTGGAGGTTGCTGTGTTCCTTCTCTGGGGGTCTCAACTCACCCTGATCAGGCAGCTACATAGAAAGCTGTGGTAAAATCTCAAGGAATTGAGAAACCAGACTTGAGACTTCCACAGAAGAAATGCCGACTCACAGTAAGCAGAACGTATTTGGAATGAAATTGACTTTTGAAGTTGTATTGGTTATTTTTCCAAATTTAAGAAAAAAAGCAGAGGAGTGGAGTTAAGGCACAGCTATGGCTGAGATATGTTTGTTGATTGTTCTGTCTGCTGGTTGTCATTGTTGTATTCGTAAAGGTCTTGTTTTATGTTGATAAATGTTTATACTGGAGAGATCACTGTATTCTGCTCGTAGTCTGCCTGAGAAGCTAAAGGTTTGACTGAGGGGATATGCTCTTTGCTAGCCGTAAGGACATGTTATGCTGGAGGAATCACTGTATCTGACCTCGTAGTCGTGAATTCTGCCTGAAAAGATCCTAATGATTGTCTTAAGGTTCAGATATTCATTT